TCGTTGGTTTGTCGGTTTGTGCCGAGCTATGCTAGGGGACCTATAAGCAATTTTATATGCCTACAATGATATTTCTCACTTGGGAAGTCCTTTTAGAAAACCATTTTTTGTAGCATGTGTATTATCATGTCTACAATCAATTCCCAAAGTTTACATTTTTCTGAATTTATTTAATATTTTTAAACAGAGTTTTAAATTTAGAAAATCAGATTTTTGAATATGTTAGTTTGCGGTCGACCGTCACGGTCGACCGCCCCTGAGTTCAGAAACTCAGTATGAGTTTAGTTGGCTCGCGGTCGACCGTATGCAGTCCAGAGAGTTTCACGGTCGACCGTTGCGGTCGACCGTCAGCTTTTCAAAAGCCCAGTTTTGCCTTTTAGTTGCTCGCGGTCGATCGCGAGTTTCCCACGGTCGACCGCCGCACTATCTTGTCATTCCCAATGGCTATTTTTCTGCAGCTGTTGTCTGAGGCTTTTGGTCTTTTGTTTGGGGTTCTTGGCTGAGTTTTTGGGAGGCTATAAATACCCCATTGATCTCAGTTCTCAACCTAACCCTAGAAATGTTTTAAAACAAGTTTTAAAAGAGTTTAAGTTTGGTTTTAAGTTTGTTTAAGGGTTTGGTTTGTGAAGAATTCTACAAGAGGAAGTGGAGATCAAATCATTGATATTTGAGCTTCAAATCCATCTCTCTCTCTCTCTCTCTTGTCATTTATTAGAGAAGTTTTCTAAACTCTATCTAGCTTTACATGTTGCTTAGTTATTTGATTATTATTCTTTAAAGCTAGTTTTTATATTGAGTTTAGATTTGATTTTATTTTCTCATTACTTACACACTCAACCATTGAGCTTATTGTATTTACATACATTGTATAATTAGGTTGTGGCGAGTTGTAACAATTAAGAGTGAGCATAATTGTGTTCTCATCTTTTGTAGAGAACAAATTTATTATTTGTTATAATTGTGATTGTAAAGTTTTCGGTTAGCTAGAAAACCGAGTGTGAGGAGTGGACGTTGATCGGTGAACGTTAAAAACCGACATTGTGAGTGATTGTGTACGTTGATCGGTGAGCGTTGAAAACCAACATAGTGTGGTTATAAACGTTATTCGGGTGAGCGTAGAAAACCCGGTCGTGATAGTGGATTTCTCCCCGGGAGTGGGGAGCGGAGACGTAGGACGGAAGGTCCGAACTCCGTGATCATTTGCTTGTGTTTGAGTTTGCTTTGGCGTTTCATTTGTGCTTAATGTTCATTACATTCTTGTCGCCATCGTAAATTTCCCTATCACATTTGTAGATTGTTTATTTCACCATTGTATTAGTTTATATATCCTTGCATATATTTCATAGTATATCTCATTGCTAGGATATTGCTCTTTGTTCATATTGCTTATTCTTGCTTGTAACATATTGTATATCTATCTTACAAGAATAATTTATTAATTAGTTTTTATTAGCATAAAATCAGATTAGATTAGCATAAGACCCTAATCACCCCCCCTCTAGGGTCTAACACCAACAACATAGTTGCTCAAACAGCTCATAAGTATCATAGTATAACTTGAAAAGATTGAGAAAACCCCTCGAAAATAGAAATAGGAGTCAAAAACGTGCACAGGCTTCTGCCTGACTGGCAGTCGACCGCTGCTTTATCACGTCGAGGCTTCGGCCTGGTATTCGGTCGACCGCACATAAGGAGCGGTCGACTGGACCGCAAACAGCAGCCTGCTCTGCAGGCTTTGTGAACCTATGTTCGTGCGTGTTTTTCGTGATCTAACTTGATTAATTCATCATAAAACTTGTGTAGAATATTATAAACATCAGATTAACAGTTTAAGAAATTATTTCACGCATGAAACATGATTAATCGCATAAAAAATCATATTTAAACTCTTAAACATGTACGAAACATTGATACGAAGAATAAATCATCAAAACTTAGTTAAACAACATTGTTAAATACTTTTAGGTCTTAAAACATCTCTGTAAAATCATTCTTTATCTTTTAAACATGGAAAGTCCTGATCTTTATTCATATTATACAAAAGAATTATTTTTATACTCAAATTAGTCGATTAGGCTCAATAAAATCACATTAAAACACATTAAAAACATTTAGAAACTTAGGAGTAGGGTTAGCAGAGATGAAACTCGCCTGAGACTTGTTGAAAAATGTACAAGATGCAATGCTAATGTAGATCTCCAAGCCAAAATCCAAAACAAACTGACACTACAAAAAAAGTGAGCATTTGGGGCAATCAATTAGGGGCAGAAATAGTGATTTGCCCCTATTAATTATGAATTAGGTGCGGATGTTGAATATGTGCCTATTACTATTATTTGGGGCGGTTCATAATACCCCTATAAGTTTGGCGGGAATTAAAAATAATAAAGATGCCAACTTAAATAATTTTGACTAAATAGGGGCACATATATCTGCCCCTAATGTTTTCTAATCCCAAAAAAATTACCCGCGCCACTTCTAATCTCGCAAGAAATACCCGCGCCACTTCTAATCTCCAAAAAAAAAAAACCGCGCCTATTATCCAACTACTTCCGCCCCTATTGTTATAACAATTAGGGTAAATATTTTCTAAACCCCGATGTTGGCTATTTCTCCCCCCAAACAATCCCAAACCCTAGATTTAGACGAAGGAACCCTCCTCGTTCGAACCCTCCTCGTTCACCGATCGTCGGCGGTGATCTCCTTCACCGATCCCGACGAGTCATCGGAGTTCGAACCCTCCTCGTTCCGATGCTTCCCCATGTTTAATTTATAGAACGTTTAATTTTAGATTTGTAGAAGATTTAAATTTATTTTTATCTAAGAAAATTACAAAAAAATCTTAGATTAGACTATTTTTTTCAGTGTAATTGTTTTTAGGTCATCTTTCTTTTTATATTTTTTCATTATAATTGTTTTAATGTTAGTATAATTTTTTTGCAGTATAATTTCGTTGCCACCATTGCAAGGGTGCCCTCAAGGTAAATCCAATTTTTAGCGTTATTTTAGCATCATGATTATTCCATTGAATTTATTGAGTTTATTTATTTTTTATTGGATTACTTTTGTGTCGTTAATTAATTATTTTAATGACGAAATTTGTTATTGGTGTATAGATTTGTTCTTGGTGTATAGATTTCATCAGACATTGGAGTAAGTTTATAATCTCGTGTTCTACTAGTTTACAAGACTCTTTTATAAGTTGTAATCACTGACGTGATTACATTATGTCACCTCTGATCCCTCGTCTTCTTTGTGTTATGAATTTCAGTTTATTGAATAACCATGAGAAGTTAAAGTGCCTGTTGTTGGTCGTGCTTGGTAGTTGGCCTTTTTAATTTAGACAGTCTCCTGGTCTTCGCCAGTTGTTTAGTTAGTTGTGCTGATATGATGCATGTCAATTGGTTTTGGCCAAAAACTTTTGATATATTTTCCTTCGTTTGATTTTGATCATCTTATCTACGTATTTCAAATGATCGATAGTCTCCCTTTTATAAGATATAATGAGTAGCTAGCTTGAACATTACAGATTATACTTTTAAAAAAATGTAAGCAGAATTCCAGGTTTTAGTTATGAAGAGTCAAAGTTGGGTTGGGAGATGCATTTTTGGGAGGATTAAGGGCTACTGTGGTAGAATGAGAGATGATTCAGATTATCAGGGTAGTTGATAATTTGTCAGGGTTGAGATCAGATTTGACATAATATATAATGGAAATGGTGTATCTACAATTGATACAATTCAAGTGACAGATCAGCTGAAGAAAAATTGATACAACTGTTATTTACTAATACTAGATAATATCATGCAATTGAAGCAATCACCTTGGCGTAAATTCTTTGATGATTTACTAAGTAATCTTCCTCTCTGACACAATCACCTCATTTCCTTAAATGTTCCATCCAAGATTCACAATTGACTGATCATTGTAAATTTTTATTATGTAGTTGCTATCCATAGGAGACATTTGGGCTACTAAGTGTTACTTTGATACATGCATCAGTAATTTGCATATTGAATTCTTCATCATGTTTCAATCACTGCCCTCCCCCATGAACAAGTGGATTAATTTTTTTATCTATAGATGATGAAGGGTTGTGTTGTTTGGAGGATATCCAGTTTAAATCTCAAATATGCTTGTGGTGAAAAGAATAAAGTAGCAAAAAAGAGCCTCTGAGCTTTGTTGTCCTTACCTGAATTCTAAACATGAGCAAATATATATGACTCTCCAATGAAAAAACTGCAGAAAGCTCTCCTTTCTATCAAGATTTATTACCAAACTCTCGGGTCTCAATGAGTTAAGCTAAAATTCATTTCTTCTACTTGTTTTTCAAATGAACCCTCTTACCTGCTTAAATTTTACAAAATGCCCTAGCCCACCATTGATCAAGAGGAGTTAATTGCAAGTCTAAAATAGTACAAAAAGTTTTTTATTTTACACCTTGATAGAATAGAAAATGTTTTGCCTCACTCAATAGGACTCATGATTATCTAATTTTTATGGGTCTAATGAATCAGGAAAATGGATTTGACATATTCAAGAAGTTATTAGAAGTGGCACAAGAGACTTATGAGAAGGCAGAAGAATGCTTGACTATAAACTGTTATGTCATGAAGAGAGTAATTGAAGCATTGATCCCTCTTCTCCAGCTAGGAAAATCACCAAGAATAGTGAATATTTCCTCTATCTACATACAGCTAAGGGTAATCCACCATAGTGTTTTTTTTTCTTTAATGTGGAATAAATTTTGGAAAGCTGCACCTCTAGCATCAGGAAACTTGAAATTATGCTATATATTTAATTACTAAACCTGACGATTGTGCAAACTCTTTATATCTAACCTTCTTTGTAATAACTACTTCATCTTCTCTCAAAAGAAAAGGGGGAAAAAAAGAAATATTTGTGGAGGTTTCCTATAAACTGGGCTCAATCATGGGGTCTAAAAAGATTATGAGATTGAGGCAGATTGCTAGTGCTCTGGTTGCTAGGAATGGACATGACATTAGATGGATTGATGGACGTTTTCTTCAATTTCAAACTACTTCCATTTTCTTCAATTTTGAACTCGGTGTTTCTGAATTTAGTCCCTCTTCTATTACTTTCGGAAGGTTCTGTGATGCATGCTACTACTTTCCAAATTTACAAGCAGGCTCACTTTAGCGGAGTCATGTTTTCAACATGAACCCCGGTCATTTATTGATTTGTTTCCAAAATTGATATTAGTATTGCAATTTATGAAGGGTAACATGCCAAGTACTGCAGGATTGAAGTATTAATGGTATGGGTCAGTTTGGCTACATAGAAACTATGCTAGAACAAATATGTCATCTTGTTACACTGCATCTCTCTTTGACATTGGTTTTGTTACTAATTCAGATTATTATAGTTCAGATCATCAACATATTTAGGATTCTATTAGAACACTGTATAGAAAGTAAGTATGATTGGTCCAATTTTATTGAACCAATCCTTTTGCATATGTGTTTTCCACTGGCTTAGTCATTTCTGTATTTCTTGATTCATTTTTTCCCCAATATTTTTTAGATACCATACATCTAATTATACAATATAAACTGATGTCAAACTTGATGCATCAGATAGACTGTTTTCACTTCTGTTGTATTCTCCATTTCACATTAGGATTTTGATGTTTGTCTCTATCTCTTTCCATTTTTTTACTTAGTTCTGACCATTGACTGAATAGGTTTTGCATGTGTGAATAGGTTCAATTTGGTGTTCTGTTCTGCAAAATAGTTAAACAATGGATAAAAGTTGGGTACATTTTGATCGCCGAAGTCCAGATTATGTTGCAGGGTTGAACTTATTTGTAGATGAAGCCCTTGCCAAGTCTAGTCGTAAAGATAAGATCACATGTCCTTGTAAAGAATGTTGTAATCGTTATTTTGAAGATAAGATGACTGTGGTGGGACATCTTCTTTGGCATGGAATGGACCCTTTATACATGAATGCTCGATGGACACATCATGGTGAGCCTTACGTTGAATCAACAAATGTCATGGAAATGGATGTTGTTGAAGGAGGAGATGTAGGTGAAATGCATGATTTCCTTAATGAGACATTTGTGCAACCAAATATTGGTGAGAACGTAGGGTCATCGAGGCAACCTGTTTTTGATGGTCGAACACCCGAGGCAGAGCGATTTTTTAAGTTACTTGAACAAGCTGATAAGGAGTTGTATCCAGGATGCAAGAAGTATAAAAAATTGGATGCCGTCGTAAAATTGTACCAGATCAAGTGTTTGGGAAATGTGACTAACAAGGCTTTTGATATGTTTTTAGAGCTTTTTAAAGATATGTTGCCTGAGGGAAATTGTTTGCCACGGTCTATTTCACAAGCTAAAAAGATTATTGATGATTTGGGCCTTACTTATGAGAAGATTGATGCTTGCCCTAACGACTGCATGTTGTTTTGGAAAGAGACAACAAACTTAACCGTGTGCTCTACATGTGGTGCGTCAAGATATAAAGTGAAAAAAGTAACAAGAGTTGGTGATAGTTCAACTGGGGATAATTCTATTAAGAAAGTATCAGCTAAGATTCTCCGTTATTTTCCACTAACACCGAGGTTGAAAAGGTTGTATATGTCAAAACATACTGCAGAATATATGAGATGGCATGCGACCGAATGCCCTAAAGATGGATTTATGAGACACCCGTCAGATTCTCCAGCTTGGAAGCATTTAGATTCGTTGTACCCGAATTTTGCATTTGAAATTCGAAATGTAAGATTGGGTTTGGCAAGCGACGGGTTCAATCCTTTTGCACATATGAGTAGTGATCATAGCACTTGGCCCGTCGTAATTTCTGTTTATAATCTGCCTCCGTGGATGTGCATGAAGCAACCCTTCTTGTTTCTTTCTTTACTTATTCCAGGCCCTAATGCACCTGGAAATGATATTGACGTGTACTTGAAACCTTTAACGGATGAGCTAAAGGAGTTGTGGGAAGTTGGTGCCAACACTTATGATGTGTTTTCCAATCAGTCATTTAACATGAAAGCTGCTGTGTTGTGGACAATAAATGACTTTCCTGCATATGCGAATCTTTCGGGATGGAGCACGAAGGGGAAGCTTGCATGTCCTCAGTGTCATCATCAAACAGTATCCAAACGCTTGCCTAATTGTAAAAAGCAATGTTATTTGGGTAATCGTAGATTTTTGCCCATAACGCATAGATTTCGAAATGATGGAGCTTCATTTGATGGCAAATGCGAGAGGGGTCAAGCACCAAAGATGTTGACCGGGGCCCAGTGTATAGCACAAATGTCTAATCTGACCTTTACCTTTGGGAAATCACCACCTTCAGAATCTGAAACTGATGATATTACACGAAAAAAGAAAAGGAAAAGAAATACTTCTGCTGCCTCCAAAGAACAAAGAAATGGTACTAATAATCCATGGAAAAAGAAAAGTATTTTTTTTCTTTACCATATTGGGAGCATCTTTTGATACATCATAATCTAGATGTTATGCATATTGAGAAGAACGTATCAGAAAAAATTTTGTATACATTGTTGGGCACTTCTAAAAGGACAAAAGATGGACTTGAAGCTCATGCTGACCTAGAACTTCTGAATATAAGGAAATGTCTCCATCCAATTCGTGTGGGAGCTAGGTCATACTTACCTCCTGCAATATTCTCTATGACTAATGAAGAAAAGACACTATTTTGTTGTGTATTATCGAAGGTGAGAGTTCCTGATGGATACTCATCAAATGTTGTAAGGTCTGTTGATGTGAAGGATTGAAAAATACATGGTTTGAAGAGTCATGATCATCATGTTATAATGCACCAATTACTCCCGCTTGCGATACGAAGGGTTTTGCCTAGACCTCTTACTCTTGTTTTGCTTGAGTTAAGTGCAATCTTTAGACGGTTGTGCGGTAAGAAAGAATCTGAAGCATCATTCAAGCATTTGGAATATAGAATTGCATTGACCGTATGTTATTTGGAGAAAATGCTCCCTCCTTCATTCTTTGATATAACGGTTCACTTACTAGTTCATCTCGCCCACGAGGCTGCTATTGCTGGACCAGTCCAATATCGATGGATGTATCCCATTGAAAGGTAAAACAAAAAAAAAATTATTGAACTTTTTGTTTCTAAATTTTACTTGCCTTCTATAACTCAGTTAATGTTTTTTTCCTCTCGAAAGGTATTTACAAACATTGAAACGATATGTTCGAAATAAAAATTATCCGGAAGGAAGCATTTGCATAGGATATCTTGCAGACGAGGCTTTGGCATTTTGCTCCATGTACTTATCAGACATTGAGACTCGTCGTACTCGTCGTGGTCGTAATGCCGATGTTTCTACCCCTCGTGAAGGCTTGTCAATCTTTGCATACTCAGGTCGTTGTGTGGGTAAAGCCACACAAGTAGATCTTGAAAGAAGTGTATGGGAGCAATGTCGCAAATATATTTTGTTCAATTGCACCGAAGTCTATCCATTTCTAGAGTGAGATATTTTATTAGATGTTTAGCTTTTTTTTTTGGTATATCTAGTTCATTAAGTGAATTTTAAGTTCGTACTTGTCTGTTATGGTTAACTTTAATAGAAAAAGGATGGCGGAGTTGCGCAAAATCCACCGACGAAAAACTGTTCGAGAAGTAGAGAATTTGAGAAATAAGGAATTTCCTACTTGGTTCCAGAACCATGTAAGCTACAACTTTGTAGTTATACAATTATCATTTTTTGTACCACACTTTTTTGTAATATATAATTGACTTTGTTAATTATTGCCTCAGGTGAATGATTTGCATGCAAAAGGCGATTCTTCCGTAACGGAAGATTTACGTCGACTTGCTAATGGTCCTAATATGACTGTGAAGCAATATAAAACCTGCATTGTTAATGGTTGCAGATTCCGGATTAAATCAGTTGATGACAACCATAAAAATCAAAATTGTGGTGTCTTTGTTTCTGCACAAACTTCAAGTTATTCTAGTGTGAGGGACAACAATCCGATTACCGGTAATGTCGACTACTATGGAGTTTTAAAAAATATTTACGAATGTGATTATGGTCTTCCTGGAGAGCCCGAAGGTCATGGATGTAAAGTGGTGTTATTTGATTGTGATTGGGTCAGCAACTCTGGGAAGAAGCTTGATAATTATGGTTTCACCTTAGTGAATTTCAAACACTTGGCACACAACAACGATACATTTATAACAGCTTCACAAGCTGTACAAGTGTTTTATGTTTGTGATCCAAAAGACATGGATTGGAATGTTGCTGTTAAATTAAGCCCGAGGGATTTCTTTGATGTCATGGAGAGTGACGATGGATCATCAAGTATGTCCAACCCATTAAATTCAGATGATTATTATGCCGTACCAAATCTTGATGATCGGGCACTAGACGATGAAGAATTACAAGTTAGAACTGATATCCGTGGAACCTTTGTTAATAAGCAGTTACCACTACCAGTTGCTAATGATTTTGTAGGTAATGAGGAAGAGCTTGGGGATGATGATGAGGAAAACGAAGATGATGAAAGTGAGGACAGTGAAGAAGAATTGAATTAGTAGATTTTGTGATTGTATTATTAGTAGACTTGATTCTTTTGAAATTGCACTTGTTTCATTTGTTATTCATTGGATTTACTGCTCATGCATTTTTTTTGAAAGTGTTTAGTTAATAAATTATTGAAAAACTTGTGAAGTTAGATTTGATAATTGATGTCATACTTTGTGTTTTGGATTTTTAACTATTTAGATGAGTAGAGTTGAGTATTCTGCTTCCAACGAAGAACACAATATAGAAGACAATACAGGAGAATTTGATGGCACTCATGATGATAATGGTACGTGTTTTCTTAAATTTTCTTCCTGAAGAAAACAGCTATGCATCTCTCTTTCAAATGGGATCCGTTTACGTTGCTTAACAAGAAAACACAAATAAACTGTTTCATTTGTACAGGTGGGAAGAAACCGACTTTTGCTTGTAGAATGACAAATTGAGCCCTTCAAAATATGTGCGTGAGCCCTTCAAAGAGCTGCTGCAGCAGCTCAAAGAGCTGCTGCTGCTGCAGACAGCAGCTCAGAGAGCTGTCTGCAACAGCAGCAGCTCTTTTGAGATGCTGCTGTAGTCAGCAACTCAAAGAACTGCTGCTGCTGCTGTGCAGTAAGGTGTTGGAAAGATCAAGAATCGTTGTGGATGCCTTGAACGAGAAATTTGCTAAATTGTCGACATATCGACCAAAACTCGGGTTTTAATATTCATTTATCTATTTTATATGGTTATTAACTTTAGTGTATGCAGGTCCAACGCAAAAGAAAAGAGGGCGTGGTTATGACAAGCCAAAGTGGGGAAAATCTGGCAAGGAGTCTATTGCATTCACAGAGGATGGATTGTGCGTTGACCCTAAGGATGCCCAGCTGTCTAGGTACTTAGGTAGCCTAGCAAAAAATTCAAGGTTTCTTCCCCTCAAGCCTATAGATTGGCGGTTGCATGATGATACTACCATGGATCATGTGTGGAAAACAATATATGTATGATGTTCTTGAACACTTTCAGCTTTAATATGTATTGAAACATATATTATAACACTTGTAAATGGTATAACACTTGTATGAGTGCAGGATACCATAGATTGGCGGCCTGAAGATGTTCCCAATATTCCTAAAATCCGACTTGTAATGTTGCAAAGATTGTCTGATAGGTGCAGAAACTATAAGGCAAGTTTAAAAGCTAAGTATTACACTCCCTATGTTGGTTTGCCAGAACGATTCTTGTGTGGAGATGATCGTGTAGATCGCGACCAATGGCGGGCAATGGTTAACTATTGGGACACTGATCCAAAAAATAAAGTAAGTAGTACCCTCCATAATATAAACTTATGATTTCAAATTAGGCATATATTTTTATTATGTTGTGCCCCTCAGGTTAGATGTGAGAAGAATATTGAAAGCCGCAAGAGGCAAAAGATGAATCACACTGGTGGCACAAAGAGCTTCGCACGACACATGGCTGATTATGTAAGCTAACACGAGACCTCCTTTTTTTCTTTAGACTGTGATGTCGTTTCATAGAATTTGTCATGTTTTATTTTGTGTTTGGGGAGCATTGACATCAGATACTCAACATATATATATTCCTTTTTAGTAGCAAATCTGATGTTGGAACAATAATACAATATCGTATCAGATAAACAAAGTTTTCCTTTCTCTCACTCCTTCCTGGGAATCCCTTAGTAGTAATTAGTATCCAAAACAAAGATGATACAGATAAAACTAGGCTATGCATTATAGAATGGTCATTTAAACAAAAAGCTACAGGAATCCATCAAATATTATGTAATATCTCACCAACATAGTACCATAACCATAACCATCAGAAATTTTACACACAATAATGATGCCCAAAAAAGAGAGTTACTCACAATTTTGCTCTCTCCTGTCATGCTAGATTCATCAATTGCAAGGGAATGACCAGAAATAAAAATGCCATCAGCAAGCGAACCATGGAAAACACCGTATCAGTTATTCAATAAGGTACACAAATATATAACTGCTGTGTAAAACTTAAAGCTAAACAAGATCATTATTTGACAGCCTACCTGGTCACCAATTTTGAGAGGAACTATATCACCAACAACGAGATCAAAAATTGAAACTTCAACTCTTCTGCCACCTCTCGTCCAATTACGATAATGTCGCGTTTTGAGAAAAGTCTAAACAGAGCGACCAATTACGATAATGTCTCATCAATAATCACGACCAGGTACAGATTGAAGTTCCGGAATATATATTGTGTAGTGTAACACCTTTAAGCTAATTTATCCATAAGTTTTTAGATAATTAAGAAACAATATAACTGATTGATACTTTTTTTTAATAAGGCTTATGAATGATTTCTATGTAATATATTATATATATCTTAGCTAGTTACATGAGGTCTTCCTGTCAACAGCAACTGACAAATTTAAATAATCTATAAATTATAGCATACCATCTATATTTAATTCTCTATTGTTCCTTTGAAAATGGGTGATTGCTTCAGTAGTCGGTGTTCATATTATATTAGTGGCAAATAAATTTTCTATTACTGGTCAATAATTAATATGTTTGTTGAGAACTGAGTTTGTATAATGTATCAAACGAAAATTGTGGCGGCACAAACCTCAAGTTGAATACTTGAAGGGGAGCCTTGGTGTAACGGTAAGAGTTGTCGCCATGTGACCTGGAGGTTTGAGGCCACGGGTTCAAGTTGTGGAAACAGCCTCTTGTATAATTGCAAGGCAAGGTTACATATAATAGGCCCAAATTGGTCTGAACCATTCCTGGACCTGGTGGATATTGGGAGCTTTATGTAAGGAGGTTATCAAGTTGAGTATCTGTTGCATTAGTAAATGCATTATGTTTGCTATTCTGCATGTGCCTTTACTCTTCTCAAATGTAAGCCAATTCCTATGTGCTTTGGAGAGATTTTCCATGTCAGCCTTAGGCTTTCCCTTGAGCCAAATTAGTACTTTGGCTACTTGCTTCCAGAAGATGTGTAAAGGGTTAAAACTGTATTGTTCTGAAATTCTGAAAGAGCCTTGGAGGATGATAAATTCTGAAATTCTGAAATTCTGAAAGAGCCTTGGAGGATGATAAATTCTGAAATTCTGAAATTCTGAAATTCTTGTAATATGACTCTTTCAGAACTTGGATTCATGACCTTTTAATGCTGATCTGGGGTCTAGAAGTTGTATACAAATAGAATATGGCTTGACATAGGCAAAGGGAGAAACTATCATAGTGCCACCACAACATATGAATATAGAAACAAGAAACAATTTCTGATGGGTTGCATTATGCAAGTAGTGGAGTAGCCTTAGAAACACAAGAGCCTGACTGAGTTTGCCCAGATATAGCATGGACTAAGTGCTGATGTCGAAATCAAATTGAGTGTGCCCCAGATATAAGATGAACTTACTGGTCATGTCTGGAACTGCATTTGTTCTAGTACTTCTAAGCAAAAAAGTTAAAGAATATAGGATAATTGCCCCAGATATAAAATATCTTCAATCCCATTATTCTATGTAGACCATTTAATGTCCATAACATTACATTTACTGTTGAAGTCTGCTTCTTTGAGATGTTGCTTCTTTAATTAAATAAAATTTATGATTGTTTTTCTGTGTTTTACAAATAGGAGAAAAAACATGGTCGCAAACCCGATCCTATTGAGATATTTTATATAGTGCACAAACGGCGAGATGAAAACAAAAGTTGGATAGATGATGCATCGGAGGAATTGGCGGTGAGTTTGAAATTTAATCATTTGTATTTAGACAAGTAATACATGTAAAAAAATTGCTTTACTTCATATTGTGTCCATTTTGGATGTTGAAGTGAATTCTTTTTTCAGGTTAAGATCTCACGGGAATTAACGAGTTTGGTTGAAACCCATGGCGAGGAAACATCAGAACTAAGGCAACAAGCTTATGTAGCAGCAAGGGGTTTAGAGACGCGATCTCCTTCCCAACAACACTCACCTTCCCAACACACTCCGACATCGTACCCATATCCTCCATATCACCATCTTCCACTGTATCCGTATACATCATCTTCGCAGTTCTACTACCCCCATCCATACCAGCCACCTTTGTACCACCCAGTGCCACACCCACCTGGAGAGTTTACAGCAATGCTCAATGATTCAGATTTTATGCAGCAGATGATGCCACCAAATGATAGGAATGACAAGGATAAAAGTTAGATATTTTTACATTCATGTTGAAGGTCAATTTTGTTGGTTATTTAAGTCATTGTTAAGTACTATTTGTCACACGCTTTTTAAGTGATTTTGGTACATTATTATGTAATCAAATTGGATTGACTTCTTATTAATCAAAATTATTCATGTTTCAATTATTTTATGTTTGTTTTTCAATTTAATTATATGAATTAAAAATTAATTATTTTTTCGGATTTATTAAAAAAAATATTAATATCAAATTTAAGTTATTAGAGGCAATTATATTTGTACCTTAAATTAATACATTTATTTTAATTCCAACTATTTGGGGCAGTTACATCTGCATCTAATAAGTTATTAGAGGCGATTATATTTGTATCTAATAAGTTATTAGAGGCAATTATATTTGCCTCTAATACTTTTTCAACTAAACCGGCTGACGTGGCGCATTGAGTATTTGGGGCGGAAGTTTGTGCAATATTGCCCCTAATAACTATTAGCAACACCACTTTTAGGTGCGGATACGAGTTTTGCCACTCATGTAATTAGAGGCAGATAATTCTATTTATTTGCCTCTAATTGAATTAAAAGTGACGAAAATAATTGCCCCTAACTCTTCTTTTTTTTGTAGTGTGAAATCCCGCTACAAACACCCTTAAACTCTTTCAAAAATCAACTTAGGGTTTGTAGAATTGTTTGGTGGATGTTAGGGTTTCAAAAGTATGAAATAATAGTGAAAACCTCGTGAAAATATGAAATATTTATCAGAAAAATGAACATGGACCTCAAAATACCCGAAACCAGGTTGAAAAAGGAAAACATGATACATGTTTCGCGGTCGACCGTGATGGTCGACCGTGACGGTCGACCATGACGGTCGACCGGGCTGCGGTTGACCGGACTGGAAAATTCTAGTTTCTTAAGATTTGGTCTTCATGCATGTTTTTGACTCGTTCTTTTAGACGGTAAAAATTACCTTTGCAGACTTACGTGAAATTCGCCTGCGAGTCGGAGTCGCCCACACAATTTGAGGGTAGGGCTCACCCATGGGCTTGACTCACTAGCGCGAACCCAAACCACATGGTCGCCAAATTCGTTCGCATTTGTTGATCACAGATTAGCTTGTTTACTCGACTCGCCTGCACGAGTTAGGATCATCCAGATAACTGACATTCGCCTGTTTACTCGACTCGCTCGCACGAGTCAGGATCATCCAGATGACTAACATTCGCCTGTTTACTCGACTCGCGCGCACGAGTCAAGATCATCCGAATGATTGAAATTCACCTGTTTACTCGACTCGCCCGCTCGGGTCGAAAATCCAATTCGCCTACGAACTTTAGGATCGCCAGTGTACTCGGCAGCCGCTACGCTACGTACAAGGATGGGTTTTCCCACTCCTCACGACGTGAAGGGAAGGAGTACAGTGCTCCGAGCCCATCAAGTAGCCGCTCATAGTACGAGCGACCGGTCAAATCCATGCAATCTCCAAGTCCGCCTGCATGCTCACGATTGAAGCTCACATCGCCTGCACGAGTCAAGAGCTGAATCCGCCCGCGATCAACAAGCTCGCCGAACTAGTACCTGATAGCTGCAACAACACGTACAAGGATGGGCTTTCCCACTCCTCATGACGTGAAGGGAAGGAGTACAGTGCTCCGAGCCCATCAAGCAGCCGCTCATGGTACAAGAAAAAGGCATGGCATTTCTCAACAGTACATGGTCACATCCCATGATTCAGGGAGCAGCCACGCTGTTTCTCCCTCTATTTAAGAACCTCTCCTACAATAGGAAAGGGGTTCGAGATTGAAAAGTTCAAAAGAACAATTAAAGAGTGATTCGTCCAGAATCCCTTTGACTAAATCAATCAGTTAATCGAACCACCGACCCTTGGTTCTCGGCTCCGATCGTCGTTTGAGAACTCAGGAGATTTGAACTCTACCGACCCGAGCTCCTATTGTGTACTGAAGCTCGCCAGTAACCTCGGTCGAATCGTCCAAGGGAAGCAGATTCGGTGCGAGAACCGAGCGAGGCGTCCTATAGCTACCGAAAGTCCCCACGTTAAACAAGGAGGGCATTCCCTCCGCTTTTATTATAATTTTAATTCATTAGTTTGTAATAAACTATTCTTATCAATACAAATGAAATCCCTATTTAGGTAGATCAAAATTTACACCTACAGAAGATGGCGACCACAGTGGGAGAATCTATTTCTTCAACCAAAATGGTGGTAGCTCAGTTCGACGAGGTTGCTGTTGGGATGACTATGGAGTCCCTAGAAATCGAGTTCGACCAAGCCAAGTATGAAGAGTACTTGTCTTCTTCCTCCTCTGGTGGCAATGCGTCCCGCAAATGCCACAGGGTCGTGCGTAGAGGCCAACCTCAAATGGTCAAAGCCTCCGCGTCCGGAGACTCTATTCGAGTCACGTCGGGGGAGCCCACTCCCTCCAAATTGATCAAGGCCAAGCCAGAGGTCGAGAGCACAGGGCAAAAGCTTGACAAATAGGTCGCTAAACAACCCTTGCAAACACCCGCCCAGGAGGAAACGGTGGTTCATTTCGGCGCAGACCATGCCATCGCAATCCGCACGGATGCTCCTCTCTCCAGAAGAGTTCGCCAGCGGCAAAGATAGTCCCTCACCCAACGTGGGGCCCGTGCCTTCGCCTCATACGACGGCCTGAATTATTACCCAGTTTCAAAGAGTGTAAGACGAAGGGGAAACACGCCCGGCACTGGAAGGCTCTCCGAATCAAGTGTGCCAACCAAGATGGATGAGACCGCCCGCTCGGGTGGATTTCACTTCTCAGGTCACATCCCTGATGCGAACAGACCACCCCGAACGAACGAGCCTACCTGAGTAGGCGAACCCTCAAGGGCGATCGATCATCGCCATGACCCCTTGACGGATAAGTGTAACAAGCGGGAGAGCCGTGACTGCAAAGGTAAAGCAGTAGGCGATACCTCGCAAACTCGCCTGCGTGAGCAAAGGGTTGAGTTTCGCCTGCATGCTGTAGTTCGCCCAAGCGTGAAGACTCTCCTATCATGACAAACTCGCAACTCCAATAATTAACCATTCCACCCAGTGTACACCAGAGAGTGCATCCGAAACTCTCTCGTGCGATCATACGGGCGATCATTAACCATTCCACCCAGTGTACACCAGAGAGTGCATCCGAAACTCTCTCGTGCGATCATACGGGCGATCCGTCTGATGTTGGGGGTTGTCGCCAACCGCAGTGCATCCGAAACTCTCTCGTGCGATCATACGGGCGATCCGTCTGATGTTGGGGGTTGTCGCCAACCGCCCACAGAAGACCTCCGAGGTTACCTAACTCGCAAACGCACCATACATGAGGCGAGTCCTCAGTGCCACTATGAAAGGCTTATCCAAACAGTACTCGTCGAAACCTTCAGTGTTCGAGAGGCTTTCTCAACGGCCTTCTCGACCGAGACCTTCTCGTCGAAGGCGTCGTCACCAAAGAGGACGCACCACCGATGATCTAGAGCTCCCGTCCGCTACAATTAATATGACGGACAGGGATAAGGCCATGCTTTCTGGTTCTCCAGATTCGGACTCCTTCCTGGGGCCTAATCCTCCGCTTGTTCGATGTGAACAAGACGGTATATACCAACGTACCCGTAGTCACACAGGGGTGAGCATTAGGTTCGATTACTCAACTTTAGCAACTCCCTCTGACGATGGGGACGAGGCTTGCTCAGCAGCAGCCATGCCCCAAACATCGCACTCAAGTCAGGACGCACTGGCAAGGGTACACATGACTGAACCCACACATGAACAAACGGTGGCCCAAAAATTCGAAGAACAACAGGCGACCATCGACTCCTTAAGGGAAATGTTGGAGCAGCTTCTGAACAAGAAAAAGAAGTAGAAAAGAACCCAGCACACCTTACCACGGCAAACGGGGAGTAAGGAGTGGATACCTCCCCATCGTCCGGCGAGTGAAACAGAGGATAATGTTGGCCTACAATCTGATTACTCTTCCAAGACATCGCTAGGAACGTCACATACTGGGGGTAGCGCCCGCGACAAGAGGTTCGATGAGTTCCAAAGCCATCTCAACGCTTTGAAGCTCCAACAGAATATGAACAAGCTGGGGGTGGTCCGACCCTATCCTGTCGAGTGGGATATAGTCCCATACCCAGCGAAGTTCAAGACGATTAGCTTGGTGTAGTTCGATGGAAAGGGCTCACCCTCACAACACATCTCCTATTTTATGGTGCAGACCGGATTCCTTACGGGGAACGACGCTATTCTCACCCAGTTATTCATAGGCACCCTCAAAGGGGTAGCATTTGATTAATGGTTCTGCAAGTTAGAACCCGGCTCTATCAAGTCATGGGCCGACGCGGAAAGGCTCTTCTTGGCTCACTTCTTCGACGACGACACAGAGGTGTCGATGGCCACCCTCCTCGTCGAAAAGCAGCTGAAGTCAGAATCGGTCAATGACTTCGTGAAAAGATTTAGGAACCGATCAGTCCATTGTCGAGAGCAAGTTTCCGAATCCACACTGATCGAAATGTGCCGCAATAATCTCTCAATCCACATTTTGTCTAAGGTCGGTGCGGTGGAAACCCGGACCTAGAAAGAACTCGTTCGTCAGGGCGAGCAAGTGGAAAACATGATCAAAAGGTTAGAAGCCAAAGAGCCACAGCCCAAGAAGGGAGATGTGGAGCCGACCATGCCAAAGAATCCCCCTCGAACAAGAGGAAAAGAGATCATGGCCATCGATTCCGCCCCGGCACCCAAAACGGCTCAAAGGCAGAAACCCAGGCAATTCGAACAACGCCCCCCGTGACAATACGACTTCAAGGAAGACCAAGTGGTGGCAACATTCGATACTTTACTCAAGGGCAATCGAATTAAATTATCGGAGGTCACAAAGCCTAAGGAGGCGAAAAAAACCAATGACCCGAGTTATTGTGCATATCACAGATTCCTCGGTCACCACACCTCCAAGTGTTACATCCTCAAAGATAAGCTCCAGGCCCTCTATGATGCA